ACGGTCACCTGCCTGGTAGTCTTATCTACTTTGATCAGGCCAGCTGTTACCTGGGCTGCAATGAGATCTCCGTTCTTGTCGAATGCACCACCCAGACATCGACCACCAGTATATGCCTATAGTTGCGAAGGAAAGCAATGAGGTAAGATTTCTTGGCCACGGTCCTTGGCTTCATTCGCGATGGTCTCCAAAGTTACGCATATATTTATGAACCTCCATAGACAATCTGAGGACGCGACCAAACCTACCATTCAATATACCAAACCACACATGGATTCTTGAGCTATTGTATGAGCATGATTGATACTAGTATTATCGTCTATATGAAGGCATTCCAAGGGGTTACACTGAAGATGCATATCCATATTAATATATAACACAGTATGATATGCTCGGAAAAAATCGAAGATCTCAGAATGCACACAGTATTCGACGACAACACTGCAGCGCGAAATGAGTCTTCTCGTAGACTCATGATTAGGTCTACATTGTCGAATGGCACTTCCGTTTTGAGTTCACTTACCCATTCATTGACTGTGTTCGATGCCACATCCAACTCGGCAATTGATCCGTTCTTGATGAGGGCAATCATAAGACCATCTTCGCGGAGCAGCACAGTCTCAGGCCCTTTGATCTGCGAATTAATAAGTGAGAAACACGTGATTGAGAATGCAAGTACGCAAATCACGCATACATTTGATGTTGCAATAAACGCTACAATACAAGTAAACAATCGGGATACAATACAAGTATTCCTCCATCAAGAAGAAGATATTTAATCTACAAAATTATTAGATACTGATATAATGAATGATTAATGCTTAGCCCGACTAAATTGAAATGAAGGACTGAAGGTGGTCTAAAAAAGTGAATTTGAAGCACAATCACAAATGTGTATATGTAGGTTGTATATGGGCTGTAGCGAAGAGTATTTAACCGGTGTACTGTGCTCCATCTCAACAGTCACATATGCAGAAAAATTATACGGACATTGTCACAATAGTCTTGAAGTGGCAGTTTTGTGACTGCCTGATCAACGTCAGTGCTACTTCATTGATGCATGTGCGTGCTATTTACATGGCAAATGCCAGCTGGAATCCAAGTCAAATGTCGAGTGTTAGTAGGTAGATGTTTTAACTCACAAAAAAGGTATTTTGAGATTCAGGTAAGGCTCTGATGGATGCATGATATATCTGCTCATAATGTAATATACATGACTGCTGCCAAGACCCAAGCCATTGATCGTGCAAGGGTATCACCAGAGATTGCCTACAACCTAATAACCTATATTTCAAGGATCTTCTACCATGGTCACAAAAGTAATGCTACCATTTCATGAGAGCGTGCTCAATATTAGCCAAATAAAACTCGCAATGAACCTCCATAATGAAGCATCAGCTATAATTCGCTCGTGTTGGCTCTCATACCCACACCACTAAATGCTCGACCAGAACTCCGTAGCCGGATGCCCTAATTCGACTCCAATACAACAATCCACACGTCAGTAAGGCAATACAATTCGACAATTCAGTCGACTGAATACTACAAGTAAAGAGCTAGCTAGCATTTTCTCCAGGCATGTGTGAAACCTTACTCTTTTCTCTATTTCTATACTCATATGTATGTATAGATATATATACAAGTATATATATATCTATATATATGTAA